ACCCTTGTCTTTTAGTTAAAATTTCAATTTTACATTTTATGGAGATGACAAAAGTACCATTTATCTTGTAATAAAATTTCTAAAATTTCCCCATAAAAGAAACTTTTTTTTAAAAGATAAACTACAAAATTAATAAATCCACCATTCACAACTCTTTCTACCTTGAACCTTTGTAATTTGAAGGGTTTCAGATTTTATATATATATATATATATATAATATGCTTGCAAAATGATCTTTTGTACAAAAATAACGTGTATCTATATACTCAATAAATAAACATGTAAATAAATAATATTATGTCTCAAATTTTGAAAAGAATATAGAAGAATTATTTGAAGATAAGGATTTTCATTAGACAGCTCCAAACTACACGCCCAAAAAAGCGATGCATCATTTTGAAATGGAAAGATTTTATCAAACAATTAGAACATCTAATCCTGAATCGATAATATCAAAAACATCTAATCCTGAATCGATAATATCAAAAAGTAGATTTTATTTTTCTTCATGCATCATTTTGAAATGGAAAGATTTTATCAAACAATTAGAACATCTAATCCTGAATCGATAATATCAAAAACATCTAATCCTGAATCGATAATATCAAAAAGTAGATTTTATTTTTCTAGAATGAAGAAAGCTTAATCAAAAAAGTAAATAAAATCAAGAAGATAAAGCTCAAGAAAAGCCAAAATAAATCAAGAAAATCAGAGGATTTATCTTGGTCTCTGCCTATGACCTCTTTGGAGATATACAAGAATTACCTTTCAATTCTATAAATAGGATTTACAAATATAGAATTCCCTTTCAATCCTATAAATAGGATTTAGGAATATTTATTAGCATGGATGTGGTGAAGAAGGTTGTGTTTCTGGTTTAAAGAAGAAATCTTCCCTGTGCTGAGCGCTGAGTTTAAGCAAGGTGCCATCACCCTGAAGATTAATTGGCCGCTGATACCAGACATATAGCCATCACCATCGAGATGACAGTTAATGGGACCTTCGTTGGAGATAGCATTCTCGATGAGGAAATTGTCTCAACCCTCATTGTCGAAATCTCTATATTCATATTCGTGTTCTTTATCCTCTTCTGTCTATACTTCTTCTGGAAAAGAAAGCGTGAAACAGAGGAGCTGCAGAGAGGCAGCCTGCCACAGCAACAGCAGCAGCCCTCAAACAACGGTAACCCACAACCACCAGATGAGCAGCCTGCCACAGCAACAGCAGCAGCCCTCAAACAACGGTAACCCACAACCACCAGATGAGGAGCCGCGAACGAATACAGGGCTTGCACCAGAAGTTATCAGTAACTTCCCGACATCAAAGATTGGTACTGATACAGTGCCCTCGCCATATTTCTCGAAGAATAATGACTGCGTAATCTGCTTCGAGGGTTTCTTGGATGATGAGGTCGTCAAGGAGTTGCAACCCTACCTCCATACATTCCATGTCAAGGAGTTGCAACCCTGCCTCCATGCATTCCATGGAGACTGTGTTGACAAGTGGCTCGGCAGGGATAACCGTTGCCCATCTTTCAGAGGGTCTCTCATACAGCCCTGAAGCACGAAATCTCTTTTCATTCTGGCTTTTCTGCATTATATTATGTGTTTTCATATTTTTGTAAAAAGGAAGTCCCATAATTACAGTAGAGCATTGTGGTTATAAATTGTCAAGAACTCTCTTTAGCCTTAAATTTCATACCAATGTGTTAAAGGATTCAGTTTGTATGATTCAGTTTTTAAGAGTCTTGGACTCTGCATCCCACGCAGATGTTGGACTTGATTTTTTAGATATATATCACTAAAATGAATATCATGAATGTGTAAAAAAAAGAGAGTAAATTTTAAATTAAAGGAATAATATTTTAAAGAGAATTTTAAGCAGTTGATTCCTCCTTTTTCTGGAGGGAAAGGTTTCTATGCTTCCCCTACGGTATAGAAGTTCTATCCTCCCCTATCATCTAACTGTTCAATATTGATCAAGAGAGTCACCCACTATTTGATCATAGATCCGACGTCTCAAAGTATTTTATTTTTTGTTTTTTTATACAAATTATATGAATATGAAATTTGTTACGTGCCATCTTCTCATTGAGGCGTACCTATAAAAAATATTAAAAATAATTTTTTGAAAAAATATAATGACCAAAATACCTTTTGAAACTTTCATGGGTATTTTGATCATTTTATTTTATTGAAAATACTTTTTTTATATTTTTCACTAGTGCAAGTTTAATAGAGGAATGGACGTCCAAAATTTGGTGTCAAAATAGTTTATAAAAAAAATAAAATAAAATAGTCTAGAAACGTGACATTGTGATTAGCGCAATCTTAACCTTCAATTCAGAATTGACCTTGGACAAGGGGAGGATAGAACTTCTATGCTGTAGGGAAGCATAGAACGCTTGCCCATTTCTGGAGGGACCACAACTACATATTCATCTTTAAAATGGATATGTGATGCCTTGGGGAATGCAAATGTAGTTACGCGTCCCCCTATGCATAAACCACTTTTTCTATTTTAGATATTTAAGTATGGGTGTGGTTTCTATTAGTTTGCAACCTTCAATAATCCAATTACCTCGCACCACAAAATTTTATTATAGCATGTAATTTTGGTGCAAAATTTTTAGGATTATTTGAAATCTATTTTCATATCTAATTATAAATTTTAAAGCTCCAAAAATAGTTAAAATCAAGTAGATCTATAAATATATGAAAATCTTGAAAATGGACGGTCTAGATAATATGTTGCAAGATGCACTATTTATGGGACTTATTTTTTACTTCATATTTATATACATCTCTATGTTGGGATGATCAATAAGAGGATTTTTCAATATTAAAATAACCTTTTCCAATGGATTTCTAAGGTGCATCCTTATTTCTACATTTTAAGGTTGCAACCTTATACGAAATTTTTCCTTTTAAGTATTTTAGTTCACCAAAAGATTATGAGATTGTATACAATGTGATCATTTACCTTTGGTACGAGGAGATCACAATTGCTTATAACTATCCGAGGTGAAAACTGATATGCTCTAATAGGTGTATATGATAGACTCAGTGGTCAATGAAATTACTTACAACAAACTAAGAGAAAAATTTCTTTTGAACTTTGAGTTTGGTCAATGAAATAAATGCAGCCATCCAATTTCACATCTAGTGGTCAGGATTAATTGTGACCACCTTGTACCAAAATTAAATGGTTTCATTATATACTTTCCCAAAGATTTTATGCTCTAGTAGGCGTATATGATAAACTCAGTCCATCTGGTAAGACCTTATCTAGGAGTATTCTTAGATCCAAAATTTTGGGTATGAGTTTAGAATTTTCTAGAGACCTAAAACGCAAAAGTTTATTTTATTTTATTTTATCTAGGATTAATCCTCTAGAAATTTTAGATTGAGAAAAATACTAAGTATTTTGCTCGATACTCTCTATATGTTTTCTTGTCTTTGTTTGTTTTTTTTTTCATCAATTTGGTAAGATTTGTATTCTATATCTCTCTACATATATAATTTATATATGTGAGAAGAAATATAACCTTCGGATATTAATCGGATAGTTACAAGTAACTTGGTAGCAATGTCGCACATAGTTACATGAAAATAGTGGGTACTTATTGTTGGCTCGTCATCTGATAAATTGACTGTGATTCACCTGTCACACAACATCTATATGTGTGGAGACAACTAGGGAGACCTCCCTTATCAAAGAGGGTTGGTCGTATGGAACAATTTTAGGTGAAGTCAAATTGTAATCTTCACACATCACTAATCGTTTGATTACCTTAGGGAGATCCCGGTATCTTGGAGATCGTATTTTATGTTTTCCCATGTATCTTGGAAGTCCTATGTTATAGGAAAGATATCCTAGCTAAACTAAAATTGAGAAAAAGGCTATTACGTGGATGTACCTCACATATATTTTTGTAGAGAGAAAAAAATAAAAAATAAAAATAGAAGTGCAAAATTAAAGAGAAAATAGTAACTTTTGTTTAGTGTTTGGGTGGGTATTTTAAAAATAGAAAGACCTTGTTTTAGGACTTGAGCTTGTAATCCCTTGTATTCTCTATACTTGTATGGAGTTTTTCTGATTAGTGGAAGAGCTTGCATGGTGTTTTACTAATCAACTTGAGCTTATAATCTCTTGTATTCTCCATACTAGCATGAAGTTTTTTTGATTAGTGAAAGAACTTGCTTGGGGTTTTTCTGATTAGTAGAAGAGAACTTTGATGCCTTGTTTTCTCCATGTTAGCATGATGTTTTTTTGAATAGTGGAAGAGAACTTTGTTGCCTTGTGTGATTTGCCTCTTTGTGGACAAGTAACTTGACGAACTATAGGGAGAGATTGGGAAACCAACTAATTGTCTTTTTAAAAAAATAAAAATTTCAAGAAAACAAGTTCTTTTTCCTTTTAACTTTTTAAAAAATTACTTTTAATGGCTTTTTTAAAGAACTTTTTAATAAGTTAAGAAAAGGAGCAGACAAAACATATATCCACGTGTGCTATGGAAATTATATAATATTTTTAGGTTTAATGAGATTTGAGCTAATTTAGAGAAAGAAGAAGAGACGGTGAACATAAAAGCATAAAATAAAATAAAATAATAAATCAAATAGTAAAAGAAAAGAAGCAAGCAACAGAGAGAATAAAAACAATAAGAAAATGTCTAATGCAAGGAAGGAAAAATGGGCGGTAATCTGTTGTCTATCTTAAAATGTTTTGTGTTGCTTGTAAATGCCTCGTCTTGAATTGGCAACATCTTGACTAAGAGGGAGAATCATCATTTTATATCAATATAAAAATAAAACTAAAAAATAAGTTTTTTGTTTCTTGAAATTAAGGATGGGAAATGTATAGCTGTCAGCCTTCCAACCGTTCGGATTGAATTTTGCGCATATTTGAGGGTCATAACTTGATTTTATTTTTTATTCTTTTTTTCACTTTTTACAAATGTAATGCACATTAAACTTGAGGCGTGTTTTCGTCTCGTAGGGCACTCAATAAAACAGAAGCCGAAAGTTAAAAAACTTTGACCAAATTATGTAGCAAAATGGGTTGGGTGAAAAATGGGAAAAAAAGTAGCACAAATTACAAAAATAAGAACTCAATCCAAACTTGTTTTCGGGCAAGTAAGAATGCTAACTCAATACGATACGATATTTGCCGCATAAGAAAAGCAATTCGTTATCAGCATACAGGAAAACAAAGAGGTATCTTTGATGCTCCTAAGCTGCATGTACCCAAACTTGAAACCCACACTAGACACTCGAGTGTTGATAGTTTAGATAGAGAAAGAGATAGAGATTAGCATATTGGTTTTGCTCCCAAGAGACGGTGTATTGTTGAGAGGCTCAAAAAATGTTCTAAAACAATCAAGAAATTAGAAATTGGGGGACATTCTATGTGACCCACCTATTGATATTTATCTTTGAGTTCTTGAATCCATAATTTTAAGGGGCTGTTTGGGTACACTTAATCGTATGGAAATGTTACCTACCTATAGATATTTATCTTGAGTTATTGAATCCCTAATTTTAAGGGGCTGTTTGGGTACACTTAATCGTATGGAAATGGAAAGAGATTTCCTCAAAAATCAGTAAATCTGAGCGGTGATAGGTGAAAAATTTATTATGGGAGTGACTGATAATTTTGGGAAATGTTTCACGTGTGTTTTTGCCTACCCATTTTTTATAAAAAAAAATATTCTTTTGTAGGCCCTCTCTTTTCATAATAACGAGCATGATTCTTCCCTTTTTTAGTTTGTCCCCTGATCTCAACGCATAGTTGTCATATAAAAACAAAAATAATAAAAATAAAAATTAATAATCAATAATAAATTACACAACACAATCATAATAAAAATTTTTACACAACATAATCCTCATAAGATATTACTAAAATCTCAATTGGAATAACATACCTCTTTAGTCTCCTCCAATACCTCAAAATTTTATACTGCAATTACCACATGTTCTACTTTACTAATCAAACTTCTTCCCATTTTTTAACTTGTACCATAGAGATTTTGAATTTAGTATCAGAAATTTATTGTTTATTTGAAATTATATAGAGAGACATTTGAAAGACTTCTATAAAAAATAAATAAAAATAAAGCTTGCCATAATAAAATCATGTTATTCCAATCATATTGTTCCAATGAGTTATCATGTTAGAAGACATGTGATTCTACGTAAGTGCCAAAGGCATATAAAATAAGCAGAAAATGGTGTCATGATGACTATAAAATGGTACAAGTTATTATTCGAAAATCTTTTTGGAATGGTGATGATGTTATTATTAAAAATCTTTTTGGAATTGTGTGATGATGATTTTAATTCCATATTTTAGTGAAATTTTGTGACAAAAAAGAAAGAAATGATAATTCTGCATTTTAGTGGAATTTTATGACAAGAAAGAAAGAAGTGATAGTTTATAGGCATGTGCTGGTAAAATGTTCGTAACGCATTTCCCATATTTCTTCTAGACATAGCCAAACGATAACAATGTATTTATCAGGTTCCATCTAAATACTACCCAAACAATAACAATTC